AATACAACTGCCTACACGCAATACCCATACGGTATACAGTGTCCTGCAACATATTTTTTTTTTTTTTAATTATTTCCAAAGGGCCGAACCCAAATAGTTGGGAGAGAAGGCGAAGGAAAAAAGATTTAATTATTTCTAAAACAATTAAAAATAGCCATTTTGTAGAGTTCATTATTCTAAAATATCGACGTTTCAAAATTTTACTTTAATTAATTTCACGATTTTTAATATTTTTTCTAGTTTTGAAAGAATAAAATATGATTTTAACTATATATAGGGACACTGAGAGAGTTCGGTCGGCCCTACGAGCAGGCGCGTGGCGCAGCGGGTCACATGTTTGATAACACTATTATAGTATTAAATAATTCACAATTTTTCTCGAAACTAAAAAAAATTGAAAATCAGGAAATTAATGAAAATAAAATTTTGAAACGACAATATTTTCAGAAAAATAAGCTCTACAAAATGGCTATAGTCAATTTTTTTTGGAGATAATTAAATTTAAAAAAAATTGTTAACTTTTTTACAAAACATTAAAATAAGAAATAATTGTAGTTCTTATAGGTACCTGTGAGTCTTATTACAAAACCAGAATTTCGATATCACCATTATTTCGGGAGATATATGGGCAAATCCTCGCGGGACACTATACATAATATATACAAATAATATAATACCTACATATTAGGATGGTCAAATACCATCTCGTTACGTGACTAATTTTAAAAAACTCGTAATAATATTTATATAATATTATGCACAGTGCTATTTCAAGCAAGTTTGGGTATTATGATATTATAATATGAAAACACGGGCACACTGACACCAACAACCCTGTGTGTCGGGGCATCGCAGTAGGTCAACATAATACATTTCAGCCTGTAGTGATGACATTTAAAATATTATGATGATTATCATGTGTTTGTTGTTTAGATATTAGTTAGGTTTTTTTGTCGCGTCGCTCGATACGAACGAAATACAATTTTCAATTCTGCAATAACAGCAATAAACAAAAATCTCGGAAAAAATACAACTTTTTTCGGCTTTTGCGTCTCTACGCGTATTCCTTTATTATTGTTTTGTTGTTTTTTTGGAGCGTGCGCACGCCTGACCCCGTGAACAAACTACTATAAGCACAAAAGCAGACTTKATAAAATAAAAAAATAAAATATCTTGAAAAACCATTAATAACAGCAAATACAAATAAAGTTATCGTAAATAAAATACCTAAGTTTTCCGACATTTCCACCGGTCGTGCAGGGAAATTGTCCAATCGCACGCACCTCCGCTCTTCTCTCAACGAGCACCTTCGTAAATTATTGTCATAATATATGCGATAACGATATAACATTCCGTAGGCACGCGCGACTATTGCGACAAACTTAGGACCATCGTCCATATAATAAAATACAATATTTACCTAAATTTAGTGTATACGTATACGATGTTGTTCTTGACGACGGAACGCTAACGGACGCGATAAAGAGTCTTGTCGAGATTTAATGAGTTTAAAGCATCATTACCACGTGAAAACTTCAACGTAAATATTACATATATTATACTTATAAATCATCATATTTTGTAATAGATACCTACCTGCCTATATATATTATAAAGGTATTTAGGTATGTATTATAATAGATAATGTATATTTTGTGCCAATCTGTAACTCTAATAATTGATTTCTAAATTTATATACAATATATATGACGTAACATTATACTTATAACTTATAAGTTATAACTAGGCAATATCAGTTTTTGGTGGCAAATATAAAAGGTTTTTATGTATAATATACGCATACTTCAGAGTCAAATAGAAGCACATCATACCTAACATTAGTACCTAACATTAGTACCTATTTATATATAATATGTACCTATATTATATATTTTGTAATCATTCGCAGGTCAATTTTAGTATTTTTACAATATTATAGTCAGTAATAAAATAATGTTAAAAAAACATTTAATTGGGTTTCAAGAGATTTTTAAAATAATTTCAGTGTTCTGTGAATGAACAAAACGAAGGCGTGGTCACTGGTCATAATATATTAAAGTTGTGATTTGTATGAAGGTTACTATAAAAGTCAAAATGTTGACAAAGTTGAATAAATATTGCATATCCAACATAACTTTTACTAATCATGTATGATTCAAGTTTGTAAGTTTCCCCTACGTAACAAATTGCCAGCCCCTCAAAATAAGCAACATAATAGCTACACTATTGGCTCCCTGCCAATATTTAATGTGTTAAAACGATTATTTACTTATACTAATTCACTAGGTTTTCAGCGGATTTCGAAAATTTATAAATGCAAATATTTTCGTACACACTCGAAACACATCGGCCAAATAAAAGAATTGTGATGRAATAGAATAACCCGTACGCACGTGTTATTTGTGTAGACTGGTCTTACTCGACCTTTTAATTTCACCGCATCACGAGGCAATGACACAACCGTGAACCATTTCTACTGCACGAATAACTGCGTACTTGAATAGCTATGGTTACGTGAATTCAGTACAAACCACCGATGATACCACGTAATACCACGTGTCGGTATGAGACACAAGGACACGGCATCGTATAAAAACCTTCAAGCCTGCAACACAACTGAACATACCATTGTTAACTGCGAAACATCGCTACAACTTTTTTTTCCTAGTCGTTTCTTCTCCCTCAGAAACTATTTTCTAATCGTTTCTCTCACCGTTTTGTTGTTGTGTTGACCAAAAACCGTATGGTTAGGTGGTGGAAATATAGGAATATTGCCCGATTATGCCGTAACCACGTGTTTAAAATCAACGATACCTATATGATGCCATGACTCGTAAGCCGCTCTCTTACATACGCGTACCCATTTATTAAAATATTTTAGTATAGTGACGATAGTCATTACGAAATAATTTATTAAATTACAATAAGTAATAATACAATAATATATGAATTGTGTACTCGTGTATTATTCCACAACGAGGAATAATAATATGTCGTGTCGTCCCTTACAGCGGCCCAAGATCTCCCCTCCAACGTCGCCCACACCCCATTTTACCAGTCGCACCCGACCCACCCAGGCACGCAATACCCGCCGCCGCCGGTGTGCAAACGGAGCGAAAACCGAGAGAGCCACTTTCGGGACTCGAAGAGGCGCCGCCGCCGCCGCCGTACACGATCATTTTTCACGGGGTGTTTTCGAAAAGGGGACACGACGACGACTTGGCGGCGGCGGCGGAGTCGTTACTGCCCCGAACGAACGGCGAGGGGGAGGGTGTGGAAGGAGACATGCGCAATGCTGGCGCCGCCGCTGCCGACACTACTCGACGAAAAGGGTCCGCCGACGCTACCGCCGCCGCTAGGATATCGACCAAACATCGCGTTGTTTTCTCGAATCGATACTTACCGCGGGTTTTCATATACCGTTTTTCGCGATTGTGTGTATATTCACGCACACACGTACACGCGTCACACGCCCGACGCGGTGCGTTTTTTTCTCGCCCCCACCGCGCGCCCCTAACTTGCCGGCCTGCGTGCGTGCGTACGTACGTGCGTGTACTGCATACATATTATACACTGGGAAGTACGTTACTCGCAAGCGACGGGGTAGTTTACCTATATACGATGTTGTCAGGACAGTGCGTGTGTGTGGGGTGCGATCGGTGACCGCGGAATACGCGTGCGGGGTCCAAGGAATGGTCGTGTGGATGGTGTTGGTGGTGGTGGGGATAGGGTTGAAAATTTGAAAACGCGAATAATTACGAAAAACAAGTCGTAACGATGATAATAACATCGCAAGGTACCTACACCCACCTTTATCAACGATGAAATTTAGTATTCTATTATGATCGATAATCGCCGCGTGAATGATGGGCATCGCCACGATCGATAATGAAAACACGTTTTCCCGCGGATTGATCGTCATCGTATTGTTTTTGTTTTTCTATTTTTTGCCTCCGAGTAGACATGCCAAATTTTGGCTCGCGATGTTTTTTCCCCCACTCGTTTTCGTTGGCCCTCGAACACGTGACGATTTCCTTCTTGCTCGCCCCTCCCTACACATATAATATATTATAAAGTGACGCGTGTCGGACTCGGTTTCGATGTTTTCCGGTCTCTGCGTCAGCGTAGCCGCTCAATGGGTTCCGAAAGTTTCAAAAATTCTCGTAACAGCTCCCGATAAAATATATCGATAAACCATCCGAGCACGTCTCACCACATGCATATAATATTTATTAGTTGCCTACTCGGAATACGCACAATCGTTGTGTATAGTTTGATTATGTTGTTATCATGCGTAGCGATAGGTGTCCAGTCGAATATATTCATCGCACAGGACTGACTGCCGAGTCTGACAATCCGAATCGTTTGCATTTGTATCGATTATCGTTTAATTTTTATGTCATACAGTGCAGATGTATTTTTAGATCGCGCGGGACACGGTATTGGCAAGTTAGTCGACGTCCAAATGCTATATTATCGCGGCCGAAAATCGGTTCTCGGGGCGTGTATCCTAGGTACCTCGCGAGGTTATCTAATAATAATAAAATAACGAAAATCGCATTAATCGCGGGTGTGGCGCGGAAAGATCGTCTCGCGATGAATAATATACGCAAAGCGATCGTAAAAGTTATATGATACGATCGCAGAGAAATAAAAAAACAGAAATCGTAATTTTCGGGGGTCGTCGACCGCGCGATGCGACGACATATACCTTAATGATACATTATATTATTAATACAACAGCAATAATGATAATAATAATAATAATAATAATAATAGTATGCTTAGGAGACCGACAAAAACAATAATAATAATAACGTTATCGCGTGCGCAAGCTATAGTGGCGCGCGGTCCGTCAATAATTTTGCCGTGCGCGCTATCGATAGCCGGCCGCGCCGCCCGTTGCAGATGTATTCGAGGCGGCTTACGCGCCGAGTATACCGCGGTGTCCCTCCCCGGGTTAAAAACGCAATACCAAAGCAGTTAGGCAAAACGTTCGGCACGCGCACCATGTGTATTGCATCGCGCAAGGGACGGTCGCCAGCAGTCGTCGTCGGATCAGCGTCGTACTCGCACACGCGTTTTCCGAAATCATTGTAGTCGACGACATTGTCGCGCCGTAACATTAATATTATTATTCGTTTTAGTTATTATTATTATTATTATTATTATTGATATTATTCACGAAGATTTAAAATTTTTTTTTCCATCCTTCGCCCCGACCTCCCTTTAACGACTTTCGCTGACACGATTACCCATCACCACTGGACGGAAGGAAAACGGTAATTTTTCATCTCGAATCGTTTTCTCCCATCTTTGCCGTCCGATGTGCACGGACTCCACCGAAGCACACCACCGACGACGCAGCAGCGGCCGCCGTCGCCGTTTCCGAGATGCTTCTCCGAAAGTGGCTTCTCGTCCGCGTCCCACCGGCGGCGACGGCACTCACCGGCCACTGATCAGCTCGGTCCCGCAGCCACGACGACCGTTGTTGTCGTACTAAAGACATTCTAACAGCACATCACCGTCGCGAGAACCATGCACCAAGAACAGTTCGTGTACTCATCGACCGTGGACGTGCAGCAGTACGTGGGCCCGTACAGGTTGGAGAAGACTCTGGGCAAAGGACAAACAGGTAAAACAAAGGTGACGCGGCGGGTTAGGTCAGGTCTAGAAGGCTTGGACGAGTRATGATGCGATTGACAACGGAAGCGCGACCGGACGCGGACTTAGAGGCTGCTCTTGTGTCTTCATCACTTTATTAAAATAATCTATAGGAGTAGTCAGACGTAATAGTCGATAATGTTACCCACACAAATTGTACCTATATAATTATTTTCATCGTTGACGTTTATTACACGGTGTATAGAATAGCATCTCAATTCATACTTTATAGTGCAGGTTATAGGTGTTCAATGGCCCGTATACGACTTAAGACTCGATGGCCGTACGAYTTGAGACTTAAGACTAGTAAGCTGGAATTAAACTAGTTAAACAATATGATGTACCTACCTAGAAAATTGTTTGAAATATTCCGTGGAGATGAATACAATTTTATTCACCTGGTTTAGCTTAGTGGACAGTTGACAAGGTACGAAAAATGTGTGAAAGGGAACTAAAACGAATTACCAACAATTATTTACATTGGACTTGGCCGAGATTCAATTCAATGTGATTCGTAAATTGTATAAGTTTATATATATTAACCATACGTCTAATAATGGAAAATCGTAACTCATTAAGTTAAAAAGTTACAACACCAACTTTTAAGCCCATTTTTTTATCCAACTAACTTGTTAGCTCGTTTCGGAGTTATAACAGTATACGATATTATATGAACCGTTATCGTATTATTGTACTTAGCATATTTTTTTTGGCCAAAGTGAATTAATCTAAGTTTTCAAAAAGCGATGTGTAGGTATACTTAAAGGAAATGAATAAATTACTCAACATTATTTGCACTTTAAATTATGAAAAATATCGTCTCCCGAAAAATTACTTTAAATTATTTTATACAAAGTATGACTCAAAGATGAATTATTGAGGTATAATATTGACTACAAGGGGATGATATTCTTGAGCAAAATTAAGCAATTGGATTGAAATATGTGAATGAAGAGATGTCATTCCATTGAATAAGGGAGCGGACACAATTCGACTATTAATTATTTTGAAAAGTTAGAATTTTACTTTAACCATAAATTTAATTTTAGAATTTTACAGTTGAACTATAATATATTATTATGTTTTTTCCGACTCAAATTTGAACTAACTTAATTTATCATGCAACATATTGTTATATAATTGTGATTTACTTTCCATTTATGAATCATATGGTACAACGAAAATGTAAGCCATAGACTTAAAATTAACTGTTAATAATTCATATACATTTACTCTAACCCGTTTTTGTTTTGATATAGTATGAAACCAAATAAGTATTTGACATCATTACATTTTTTAATATAAAAACCTAAAAAAAACTTTTTCCATTTTTATGATATTCTGATTTTTTACCAAATCTAAGTAAACGTTTTCTTTTTTAAAATTATTTATTAATACAGTATTATTAATAAAATAAAAATGTCTACGTAGACTACATAACTACCATTTATGTTTGCTTTAAAATGTACATTATTAGGTGTTATTGGATAGTTGTAGTTTTAAGTGTCTTCGGTTATAAATATAACTAATTAGTTAAACTAACGATTATAATAAGTCATTATTATTAGCAGTAAAATTAATTATTATTTATCATTTATTCATTACAGATTTCTGTATATATGTATATATATACATATATATAAATATCTTATATATAATTACCGATATTAAAAATATTATATAAGCATCTTACTGTATTAAAATAATATATCTTTATCTTCTACACAAATAGACGTTTTATTAATTTACAAGAGAACATTTTTAACTTTAAATAATGTCGTGTCACGCGATGAGAAATTTATATTTAACAAAACTGTGTATGACACATTTAATTTTAAAACCGAGTAATTTCATTCTACTTACATAAATTTATTTTTAAAAATACTTTTTTTTTTGTGATGTAACCCTGAATATTTTATAGGTAGGTATACCTATAATATTATATTATATCTTAAAATAATGAACTTATTAATATATATATAGGTGTTAATATTATTATTTATCATTCAGTATTTAACACAATAAATACACTATGAACTCATTCAAGAATATTTTAATAGGATTCTTGAAAATGAAATTACGAACAAACTTACAAAGAGGTGATTTTTAGTGTTTTTCGAAAATATGAGAAAAAGCGAAATAGATTGTGTAATTTTAAAACAATATTGTAGGTAATTTCTATAAATTACGTTGACGAACTTTCAATAAAATTTCTGAAAGCCCATAAATTGCTTTTTATAAACTAAAATTGTTAAAAAATATTATATTATAAGTATGATATTTCTTTTAATAAGTTTTTAAAAAATATTGTATATATTTGGGATTTTAGTACCTAAACGGCTAAACATATCTATTACTTAAGACAATTTTGTTCTCTAATCCGTTTTACTCGTTTACGTATAGTATATAAATATGTATAAAAATTAAAAACAAAAATCTTTTTTCTTATTATTGAAAACCCTCGGCATCATAGACTTTAAGAACCCATTATTGTTTTATTTGAATTCGTTGTAATATCTTAATGATGGTATCTAGGTTTTAAGAAAAAATTATTCAAACAATATATTAGGTACCTATATTACAATAATAATAATACTTAATGATATTATGTATGAAATAAAATTTTTTTTCAGTTATTACTTATTGTTGCAACTTGCAATCATAAGTACTATTCTGTGTTGAATATAAATCGTATAAATTGTGTGCCCAAACTTCAAAGTAGAGATTACCTACGTCTTATATATAATTAATTATTCAGTACCTAAAAGACATCTAATCTGTATGTAGCCTGTGGCTATTAATATAAATAAAATCATTGAAAAAAAAACATTTTTAACGAATCACTTTATTTTTATCTCACTTAAATAAGGTTTAATAAAATGTAATKTACCCTCTTACTGTACATAAGCTGTTGAGCATTTATTTTTATATGATTTTATGTTCTCAAATTGTATTGGTTTTACAATGATGCCTTTATTTCTTTTGGAAAACATTTTTCACTAGTTAACATTTAAAGTTTGGGTTTATGATTAAGTCTTGTACTCTGCTAGATATTATAAAAACTTATTTACTATAGTACAACATATTTAAAGAGAGTTCGTTTCAAGTTTTGATTTTGTGCATAACTAGCTGAAGAAATCCGGCTTCGTCCGCGTACAGTTTTTTGTGTTACCTACTATTATTTTTATTTTATCAGTTTTTATTTTTGTTACAGGCTGCTTTTAGATATGTTGATCCTAGGTTGCCCATGTATTGTATAGAAGTTTCTGTAAACTCTTTTAAAACTAATTAAGTTTTACAACGTCGTTGTAACATTATTATATACATTATGGTGTTATATTGACCAAAACAATATATTTATATTGACATATTTTATTCATCTCTATAACTCTTTATAAACAGTATTTTTGGTACTGCCTTTTGGGGCTAAAATAACCAAAATACTGACAGAGCTAACTCTAGAACATGCGACATAGAACTGTCCATGTGAAAAACATTCTTCTCTCAAGTCAATCTCTGCCATGCTTAATGATTGTCCTTGAGACTTATTAATAGTCATAGCAAAGCAAACTTTGATTGGGAATTGTGTTCTTTTAAACTCAAAGGGATAATCAGTTGGAATCAATGTTATACTCGGTATTAAATCTATATTTCTTCTTGCGCACCCAGTTATAACTATAGTATCTATTACATTTTTATGCAGAGGTTTAACTTGCAATCTAGTTCCATTACACTTTTTAGGTGTGTTAAGATTTCTTAGTAACATTATTTCGGCTGCTTTATCATTCTTTGGAATTAAGATGGCTCGCTTGCAAAACCATTCGATGGGTTTTATCTTGATATTTATTATATCTGGAAGTTAGTTCTGATAAAGAGCTAACAACTGTACTCAAATTTGAGAGAATAGTGATCTCACCTTCCAATGAAGGAAAATTTCCGTCTCCTATTTTAAGTAACATCTCAGCGAAAATCCCTGCAGATGTGTCACCTTTCAAATGGACTCTCATATTTTTATGAAGTGCAACTTTCTCGATGTATAACCACAAATACGAAGCTTTTAGACATGACTATAGTTGATTAGCCCTAGTAACCCTATGTATAACGGGTAATGTTTTCCGAAAATCTTCTGCTAGCAGCACAGTGACTCCACCCATCGAACTATTATATCCTTTTATATCTTTTATATCTTTTAATGTTCAATTGAGAGCTTCAAAGCCACCCTTGTGGGCCATTCTGCATTCATCCCAAACTATTAACTTACAGTCTTTTAGAACTTTTGCTATATTACTCTGTTTGGAAATATTGCACATAGGTGTCTCTACTCTCGTTGGGTTTAATAGTAATTTAAATACAGAATTAGCTGTTTAACCTCCTTCTATTAATAGAATAACCATCCTCAACATGACAGAAAAGTAACAGGTACTGCAGTGTATCATACGAACGTTGCAATTCACTAATATGTTGCAATTTGTTATTATGACTTTGTAACACAATATCTCGTTTTTCGAACTTTTGTCCAACTATGACCAATGATACTTCACTTTCTGTTGGTGCATTGTGACGTACTCTGTGGGAATTATCAGGTTTTCTATCARTGTGTATTATAATTTAAAATTTTTTACTATTTTGAGGTACTCTTTCGAGTGTGGTTTTGAAGCCCTTTATATATGGGTTATTATGGTGCGACATCGCTTGTAATTGTTTTACCATTGTTTGCTTTACATCAGTGAAGTTGCTACATCTTAAGCGTGTTTCTCTCTCATCATCTCCAACGACAGACTCCAACGAAATAAATCTGTAGAGATTGARGGTTTTGTTAAGGTAAAGCTTACAAACTACTAATTAAATGATACACCTGAACTTTCACTTTGAATGTGAGCATAATAAATCCATCTTCAATAGGTTGTTTCGCTCCAAAAGATGTCATTTGGAAGCATTTATTGTATTTTCTAATACGGTCCATTAAATGTT